CCACTTCTAACTCTAACTCGGCTACCCGGAGGTCAGAATCTTCATAATTTTTTGTCAACACCTTGTGTTTGTCACTCAACACTTGATGCTCTTTTTTGAGAGTAGCAAGTTCTTCATTGCTTTTCTTACTGGATTCTTCACTTTCTTTGAGTTTAATTTGGAAGCCCTGAGCAACAAACTCGGCAGCTTCAGCCTTTTGAAGGAGCTGTGTCTTTTCTGTTTGTAACTTTTCTTTTACGAGTTGGGACTCTTTCAGATCAGTCAGAAGTTGTTGACGTTCAGCTAAGGCGAGAAACGCCATTTCGTAGTAGTGCGCTTCCCGGAGAGAGTGATCTCGGATGTCAGTGAATTTGGCCATAAGTTAATCTAAAGAGAACTTGTCCCATTTGTCACGGAGCCCGGGAGTAAAGCACTGCTTCAACTTTTTCATAAAAGGGGGTTTTGCGCGAGGAGTAGCCATGACAGAAGAAGGTGGAGTTGAAGACTTTTCAACAGAAGAGTCAGGACTAGGTTCGTTAATTCGAACTCGTTTTCTTCGAAGGAGCTCGCTGGAATCAATAGGGGCCTCCACATCCATTATAACAGTATCATCCGGGATAGAACCAGTAGCAGACGTAGCCGGCATAGGAGAACGAGTTGGAGAGATGTCTTTCCCACCTGAAGCAGAGGAATCATCTTTACGGGTAGCCTTTTTCTTTTGGCGGGCAAAAAAGGTAGGGTCCATGACTTTATCTAGAAACCACAGATACAAAGAAAATAGATTTGAGGTTAAAAGCAATATTCAGGTAAAAACATATCAGAATTATTTAAGCTACTTACTTAATTTCCTGCAAACCCAGTCAGAAGAATCTTTATAAGTTAGAATAGACCGAGGAATGAGGGAAATATTTTCCTTAGCTAATTCGGAGGCAAGCTTTGTGAACCAAGTGTAAGTTTCAGTTTCGTCGGGGCTCAAATTCTTTGAATTCGTCAAGAATGCTTTGGCAGAAGTTGTGTAATGAAGACGGTTCCAACTGAGAGGAAAGCGCGGAGCTCCGTGCTGATCCAAAAAGAAAGCAGAAGGAGAGGCAGGTTGAGAAGAAGAAGAAGAGGCAGAAGGTGTAGTAGGAAGAGCTTCAGGAATACAGATTTTGAAGTATTCTTCTTTGAAATTCTTCCAATTATCTTCATATATAGAACACCAACGTAACCCGGGTCGAGCCTTTAAAGATACCCAGCTATGACGAGTACATCTTTAATCTACAACATTTCAGAACACAGCAAAAAGGCAGAAAAAGACCCGAAAGGAATAGGGGAATCCAAACGAACGACAGATTATCTCAAAGGTATGTAGAATACACCAGCTGTTAGGATGCAGTTGAGAAGGAGCGACTTGCAAGTGATTCAAGATGTCCATTTGGAACTTGGAAAAAGGTAAAGATATGAAGAGTTCAGAAAATAAACATTTGTGGGCAAAGAAGTAAGAGTTCTCACCTTGTCCGGAAGGTGAACAAATACGTTCTTCTTCTCCGGGTACTGCAACTCGGAAAGAAGTGATAATTGAGTCACGAAATAGAGGTACAGTTTGTAAGGCAGTATGGAGAGAACTCGACTGGTTTTCATAAGAGGAACGAAGCCCTAGAGCTTCTTCTTCAACCCATTCTAAACCTTCAACAGTAGAAGGTAGTGCGAAGCGTGAGAGGGGAAGCAAACGGTAGGGACGATTCCTCGGCATGGCCTGGACGGAAAAGTACCAATTAAATCTATTTTAGAAGATATAAGGCAAGATAAAATGTATATAACGCAAAATGTGTTGGTTATACTCAGATGCCTAACCCGTCCAGAACATGATAGGGTGGTTAAAGAAAATCAAAGAAAAGGAAGAGATAAAGATCAGAAAAGTATGGAGTAAAGGAAAAAGGATAAGATGATAAGTTTTCGGCAAAGTTTGTTAAGGAAATAGATGTACCATAATAAGCATGAATACACACATATAATGTCATAAATTAATTACAATGTAAAGGAAATAGAGGAGCTTACTTGTGTAAGGTGCGAGGGCTTCGAGCAGGTGGTAAAAGGATGATGGCAAGATCCACGCGGAAGAATCAACGAAGCAGAAAAGAAGAAAAACCAGAAAGAATGGCAAGAAAGGCGAAATGTTCTAATGAAGAAGAAGAAGAAAAACGTAAAAAGAGAAGAGACGCAAACGGTAATATAAGGGTAGAAATGGGTAGCCGACGTTCCCGAATTTCAAAAAATAATGATTGGTGTCAGGATGAGTCATTTCAGATGTCAAGTCGTTTCGAAAATCCAGGCAATTAGAGAGCGACAAGTGTCAATTGGAAGATGAATAGGCAGGGAGTATTTAATAAGGATACTGACGTGAGGAAAAAGTAAAGGGCAGAATAAGTGAAACCTTAAGAGTTAAACTCGGAGTAAAAACCCATTTAACTCCGAGTTTGGGGGCTTAATGTTCCGGGTTAACACAACGAGATTGTACTTGCTCGTACGAGTACAGTACCCGGAACCCGTAAATACTTTACCCGGATAGGCGGTTGGTCAGGTCAGTAACTGCTACGCGTAGTGGAGTTAGCAGTCAGTTGAGTCAGTCAGCATTCCTAGTAACGGAGTCATAAGTGGGCCTACCATGAGCCTACCACGATGTCATGATGGTATCCACCACTCCCATGACACAGGTAACCGTTCTAAAGCTACACCTATATATACCAAAGATTAAGATAACAGACAGACAACTACGAGAGAGATCCATATTAATGTTCGTCCAGAACAACACCAATATTATATAATCCGGCTTAAAGTATATTTTATCAATCACATTTAAATTCTCAACCGTACATAAAGTAATTGAAAATAACGAAGCCATGAATATAATAGCTCAAAGAATCGTATCCTTTTTTTTTCTGCCGTGCTATTTAGCCCATGCATCAAAGTGAGACTTTTTGTAAACAATCAAGTGGAGACCCACAACAGGCGGGTCCATTTGATACATATCCTTGATCTCTGCATATGAAAATGCAATTTCGAATACTAAGGAAGCAATTCTTGTGAGAAGACGACAAATCCAAGTGTATTGTCTGTAAAAGTTTTGGATAACTCATTTATTAGTATTGACATATCCTTAAAAATAGTTAAATTTTTCAGTTAGTGGATGTGATAATCAAACTTATTTTTAATAATTGGACAATATATGATTGAATAACAATAAAGAAAAAATTACACGAAAAGTTCATCTTAAAGAAAGTTCATTTCTTTCGGATCATTTTGTGTCATCCACTAATATATAGTAGGTTAACGTATATTTGATTTTTGGCTATACATGTTGGCATAAGTTCAATGTATTTACTTTTTGCAATATCTCCCTCTAAATGAACGTAACACCTTTTCACGTATGATGTGGGCTTATGAGTTAGAGATTGGTGTGATGGTAACACAAATATGTCTGGATGTTCCTCAACAATACATTGAACTTGCTGTGTTCTGTCCTTTATGGTGGAATATATTATGGGAAATGCTTTTCATCAGGGAGAAGCTTTCCTACCGAGACATTAACAAGTGGGGGCCATCATTTAAAATAAAAAAAATTAAAAAGAAAAGCTGGTGCAAAATCCTATGTATGTGTAGGAAGGAGGAATAGTGTTGCTGCAACAGAAGAAAACAAAATCCCATATATTATAGGAGATTAGATTTCTCCTCTCCTGGAGGAAAAATATTTCTCCAGCAAAGACAAAAAGAGAGAGGACAGAGAAAAGAGAGGTGAGAAAGGTTTCTCATTCTACAATAGTAATTCTCCTATATTTTATCTTATGAATATTGAATTCTCAAGTTTGGTATAAAATTAAAAAAATTATTTTCATATATAATTATTGAGAAAAACTTTTGCAAACATTTTTAATTTCATACTCACCAAATGGTAGAAATCATACATTTAAAATTCACATGAGAATATACATATTATGGGAAATATTAAAAAAGCCTACCGTCCTACGAGTTCTACCATGTCATCAACTACTATTACGTCTTTGTTGCTGGCAACCATCCACCATTGTGCTATGGGTCAAAATAAGTCGAGTCTAAGTGGGCAAATAAATAAATTTGACAAAGTATTTAATTGATTAACCAAATTGAATAAAAAAAATATTTTGGCCAAACTTGACATGATTTGATTTGCCTTAGCCCAATACAAGATTGCAAGATAGCTTGCACAAGTTCATACGGGTTTACAAGTCTGAAAGTGTTATAATTAACTAATATAATCATGTACCAAAAATAAAATAATAATATAATTATTGATTTTTTGAAGTTTACACAAATATTATTGCAAAATAAATATTCATCGACTTTAAGTAGTAATTAATTTGAAATAAAGTTAATTTAATAAATTATTATGTACCAATTTTTTTAATAAATTATTAAAATTAATATTTTTAAACTCTAATTATATATGTGAATAAATAAATGGAATACTTAGGCAAATTGCCAAGAGTGAGGTTGAGCCAACAACTATTAGACTAAACCATATTCTTCACAACTACTAATTACAAAGCTTATAAAGGCTGAAGTAATTTACAATAATGTTTTGAGCGATTAATCATGGTTATCATCTTTAGTACTACCAGGGTAATATTCCACGAAACATTATTTCAGAAGTTGAACCAATCTTCCACTTTACATGTGTTTTGTTTTACTTAATTTTTACATAAAGTTCTCTACCCATTTTCTTTTTTTACATAAAATTAGGATTTCCGCCAAAAGCTCCGTAAGATTTTTTTCATCGAAATATAAGCGCAATCAAAGTAAATAGCATTTCATTATTATTTTTGTTTTTCCCTATCGGTTCATGAGTTATCCAACCAACCTGATTCGAGCACTTTCAAACCAAAATATGAGCAAGCCCTCCTAAGCCTAATTTTTCTATTCCTAATGATTGTTGATATATTAGTTCTTCTTTTTAGTACAAGTTTAAATAAGAGAACGACACAAACTATACAAGGTTAGGGAATACACCATGTGTTTAATTTATGATTGTACCCACACTATATATATATATATATATTCCATACAACCATTTGATATGAGTAAGAAGTGCAACTAAGTCATAGCAACCAAAGGAAAATGAGAAGTAAGAATAGTTCAATAGGGCAAAACAAATTATCATGAATGCTCCTCTAATAACTAAAACAAGGGAGGTTTCCCATCCCAGTTAAAATAGGTAGGAAACCGAAAACTACCCACAATTGTGAAAAAGTGAAGGCTCTGTTCAGTCCAAGGCCTTCTTAACTGTAACGGACCTTGCTTTCAGATTCAGAAAGATTCCCCTGACACAACAAAGTAAATCAGAGGCCCATTAACTATTAAATAATTCATATTGCACATGTTTCCCATTTAGCATACACGCCACTCTAGTAATTCATTGAATCAAACTTAAAAGCAAGGAAGAAACTTTCAATTCTTTTTTTATAAGAGAAAAAAATTTTATTAAGAGGGAAAAGATTGAAGTACAACTAAGGTAGGACTAGGATAAGATATCCTCCAAAACATAGAAACTCGGTATAATTCAAAATGATCGAGGCTAACGCCAATGCTTGCAAAAAAGGACTTGGTGATGAACCATGATAACAAAATCAGGACAACTATACATGATTTGGCTTTGCCAAAATACAAATTATGTTGAGCTGGATGGAATAATCCAGTATTGGTAATATGTTGTAAATATATAAACAGTTAACCACCTCACAGCACAATTCATATTGAGGGAAACAAAAACAAGACAAAATATTTCCATACTGCGTCATGGATATGGACACTTAGTTAATTGAGGAATATGCAGAAAACCAAGCCAATCAGTGTGTGTTGCACAATGCCTTCAGTTAAAACCAATTATGGGACTATAACTTCATGCTAAAATGAAAATCTTAGTGGTTTAGTGACATACTGACATTAATATAGGCAGACAAATTACTTTCCTGAAGATATAAAGATCTATATTCCAGTATGAATTAAGCACCATCAAAATTAAGGGCATCCAGTTCAAATAGGTTATGTTTATTTCATTTTAGTACAGACAAATTAGATTTAATCTGCATAAAAAACAACCAAACTACAACAGCATATTATATTTGATAGCATTTACCAGGCATAGGCTTTATAGCTGGGATATGGTAGCTCTTGCAAGTTACAAGGTCAAGTCACAATATTATAGTTGGAAGCAGGATTCAACAAGTATCAACAGTATTTTCTCCAGTCTAAAAGAATTCCTTTCTTAAGACCTTTCCCATAAAGTCAAAATTGAACCTGCTTCTTTAGAGTTAATATAATTTCACTCGATAATAACCCTTTGTAATTCACAATGCATGCCTATCTCTCACAGTATTATCAACCAACGATGCTTATTTATTAATTTTGGGAACAAATGAGAGATGAAATGAACAAACAATGGAAGACTAATAAATAGCAAGTAGAAAGATGCAGGAGCTCACCAGCATGAAGCAACAAAACTGTGAAATATAACACGGAATTGCAAAGGCATATACTGGTAATTCACCCAACCAACGATAGGCCAAAACTGCAAGTTAAAAACAATATAACTTCAAAAGGCTATCTTTTCAAACTGCCCCATCAGCCAAACAGCAGAAGATTGTTCTCAATGCCATACCTTCCATGCAGTCAACTGAACAGAAGGGTAGTCCTTTTGAACTTTGTTCATGACTGTACTCCAAGGTCTCCCTGCAAACCACCCTCACTTTTTAATTACTATGGAGTGCAGAAGAATTAGTTAGAATACTTTATTTTCAAGTCGGTTTATCATGTAACACCATTTGTATATAGAGAATGTTTCAAGAGGCTATTTTGTCATACTTAAATCAGGATCCAATTAAGTCTTAGAAATGTATTATAACACTTAACTATGCCTAGGGGTTGCTTACATATATATGGCTTAGTCTGCGAATAAAACCAGAGAAATTTGAGGTGTGTTTTTCTGAAAAGCTTAAAATATTATTCGATGTATCTCCGGGGCTAAATTACACAAGAGTGGGTGAGAAACCCTAAGCCCTGTATATCTAAGCTAAGGTGGTCAATTTCCTGTGCACTAAGTGGTAACTAATTTATTCAAAACCTATAACAGACGAGTTCCTTAAAACTTACAATTTGTTTCTCTGTCTTTTCATTTCCAGACTCTTCACTATTTTGGTTTTGCTCAAGTCCTTCCTGTTGAGTTTTGTGGAGTTTTATGTGTCTCTTAATAAGTACTTCTTCTAGATCGTTAATCAGGCATATACAAGTAGTGCCTTATATTGCACTCCTCCAAATTTCAAATCCAATATGAAATTTAATTTGAACAAGAAAGTTTAGGAAAATAAAAACATAGCTGTTATACCCAGTTATATACTAGTGAGGTAGGAAGGGCAAGGGCAAACCTGGTGCACAAGGCTCCCTGATTTGCGAGGATAGTGAGGTAGGAAGAATAAAAAAATTGTTAAACCTTTATTTTATTTTATTTTTGCTAATTTATTGTTCAGAATTTCATATTAACTAAGGGTATGTTCGATAAAAACTGAAAAGCTTTGCACTGAATTTTTAGTAATAAAAAATTAAGCACTGGATTTGTTTCGTTTGAAAATATTTTAGTTTTCAAGTGCTAATAAGAAATTACTAGCATTCATGTAAAGAATAAGACTATGGTTCACCAAAAAACGAGAGGATAGTAAGACTACGGAACTATTATTACTTAAAGATTCAAATAATAAAATAACTGCTAATGAAAACATTTAGCATTTCCCATGTGCTGAAATTCATTTGTAAGTTTATATTAAACAAACAATACTAATTCATTTTCAGTATTGACTCTGGAAATAAAATATACAGTGAGAAAATAAGTTAGGATAGAAGGCTTAGAATTTTCAATGTAACAAATTCCAGATCAAGACACCATATTGGTATACAACTATTGATAATTTGAACTCAGAATGACATGCTAATTTCAATAGCAATACAACAGTAACAGAATCAAAGTTACAAATTTAGTGGTAAAAAGTGATCAACATCTTGCATTCACATAATAACCATGATATGCATAAAAAGAAGATGTTTAAGGAAAGAAGAAAAAAAGAAAGAAAGAATGGTTTTTGCTTTTTGGGTAGGAAGGTGGGGCACAGAACGGAAGAGACATTCACAACAAATGCTGACATTAATCTTTATTCATGTAAATGTTTCAAAATCACTGTGTAAATAGATGTTAAGCATACAAAACAAGAATAATTTTATCAATGAGCATACCTTCTATAACCAAGCCATAGTACATCATGAAGAAAAAGTTGTTCCATGGGGAACTAGTTATCTGTTCAAGGATCACCTAATAATAGGAAATTCTATTGGTTAGAGCATTACTTAAAAACTCATACCAGGGCTGAGGAATTGTAAAAAAACCTAACACAACACAAAATACTATCCCTGTAAGTGAAAGGCTAAGAGGAGAGACAATAATACAAGCTAACAATATACCTTCTTAGCAATAGTTTCATTGCCTTTCTTCCCCTTAAAGATTTTATCCATCAATTTGTGGAGAAAATGTCCAAAGGGTCCTGCGTAGGCGAAACCATACAGCTGCAAAATAATTTGATTTTAAATTTGCAAAGTCCTTAAAAATTCCAATACAAACATCAATCTTTGCTTCATCTTCTGATAAAAGGTGACACAATAATTAGTTGAGAGTCATGAAATGATAAAGACGACATTTCAGTTAGCTTCATGGAAAATTGTGGGCTTTTTTTTTTTTTTTTTTTTTTTTTTTTTTTTTTTTTTAAGAATTTGATTCAGACATGGATACAGTCCTGAAAGTAAATGCAATTGAAATGGTGATTTCTCACATTAAATCATTTAGAAGAACAATAGTCAAATGGGCATACCATGAAAAGAAGCAATCTTCTCAACTGAAGCTTCTTGGCCCCAGCAAGCTTCTGTGCCACTCCATCACTAAAACCAGATAGAACTGCTGCAGTAATTGCCTAACAACCCACAATTTTTTTTTTATTATTTTAAACAATCCCATTAATCTAACACGGATTTTTTTTTTAACAAAAGAACAATTTCTTTCAACACAATTAGTCTCTTAGAGATTATAAAACAAAAAAAGAGAGAAAAAAGTGGGTGAAAACAGAGATTCATATGAGGTTTGAAGCAGGAAGAGAAGAAGAAACCTTTGTTCTGAGAGGATGGAGTTGAAGCTGAAGGAGATATTTCTTCAAAGCATCGTTGACTATGTCAGACATGGTGCTCGATCAACCCCGGATCTTCTCTGTCACCGAGTTTGTAGTTTCTGTTAGTTACAAAAGATGGATGGAGTGAGAGTGACATAAACATAAACATAGAAAATAAAAGAAAGACAAACAAAGCGTTCAGAAAAGGTAGCACAAAAATACAAGGAGGGGTTAGGTGGCAAAAACAAGTGAGGTTTTTATTTTGCGAATCACTATTCCATAGCAGAACGGTACGCTGGTCAACCAAAGACGGCACCCCCTTTAATCGAAGACCTTCACCAGAAATTGTACATGTTATTAATGTCTAGTATAAATATTTAATGGAAAAAATGTGTATTATTTTAAAAGATGTAAAATTGTATTATTTTAAATGAGAGAAAGAAATAGATAAAGAAGAAGAGATAATGGACAAAAAAATAAAAGTATGAGTCTCACTTCTTTTTTAGAGTAAAATGACACAACTTGTGTCATTTAAAATGATATATATTTTTCTCATAATTCAATGGATTTATGTCATTTACAAGGACAAATACTTTGTTCATATTTCAATGGTTCATTTTGTACGTAGTTACTGCACATAAGTTATCTGAAGTAAGTCCGACATCATTTTTAGGTGGAAATCATGATATTTTTGTAATTTTCATTTATTTTAAGGTTATAATAATTTTTATATTTATAATTTTGTAAGATTTCAATACCAAAACGAGTCGTTTTGCATAAATATTTTTCCTATTTCAGTATAATGGTAAATGAATCTTTCAATGGAATAATATTTGTTTCTCCTGAATTTCTTGTTTAAAAAAAATTGATGATAAATGCGATTAACTTGTTTTGCAAAACTTTAGCTTTAGTATGTGAGAATACTTGTAAAATATTATCTAAGAAAATATCAATGTTATTGGTTTTATAAAAAAAATTCATTAATATTTTATTTTTGGTCAGATTTATATTATTTTCAAAAGGCTTTCTTTCTCTTGCATAATTGGCTTAGCAAGTTTGCACGATGGTCTGAATGAGTTTATTAGAGACTTTTGTTTTCTTTCATTTCAAGTGAAAGGAAATTGGGCAGAAGGTGGCGAAATAGACATTTTCAAGGATTTATGGGTCAAGTCAACCGCGCTTTATTAATATGCCCAACTGCCCAAGTTCAGCTCATAGTTTTTTGGTAAACGGGAACTCTTATGGGGCATTTGGTTATTTGGTTGAGGAGAAATTTTTTGAATATTAAAAAAATGTAATTTATAGGAAAATAGTTGGAAAGTGAGTTTGGTAGAAAAATGTAAAAAAAATTGTTTAGTTGGAAAAAATTTAACCGGGCAAATTAAGTAAGATTTATAAAGTCTATGTTTGGTTTGAGGTAAAATATAGATGAAAAATAAGTGACAATTACGAAAATGTCCCTGTTATTAAAATAACTGTAAATTACAAAAGTCTATCGTGGTCCTGAAAACAATTTTAAATTTTATGTTTTCACTGGATGGTGGCATCATGGTGTTATGGATTGGATAATTTACAGCTTTCGTGTATGAGAAATCATTGTTTACATAAATCTACAACTTCACAATTAGTTTTCTAATACAAAATGGAGGGTCACTTTGGTCACAATTTTCACTCTCAGTTTTCTACTTCTCTAATTTTCCATAAATACCACATCTCAAGAGGTATTCTTAAACAGTGAATTTGAGCACAAAATCAACTGAAATACACTTTCCTATGCAAACTTCTTTCCTGGACTTTTTTTTCATAAACTTGTACCAAACATAGCATTTTGGGATACCTACCCACACTTCCCCATCTATCCCAAAAGAAAACCTCAACCAAACACAGGGTATGTTTGGTTGGAAAATTATGATGAGATAGATAAGCATTTGAGAAGTGAGATTATTGAGTGCCCTTGTTTGGTTTAAAGGTTTTCAATATATGTCTACCTAAATTATTATGCCACCTTAACAATTTGCATGTCTATTTGATCAAAATAGCTGGCGAAATATTACCACTTGAGATATGGTATCGCTTCTTATCTACCTAAATTGTTGGCAACACAAACTTTTTTCACATATGAACATTAGGATTTGACAACCCTGTTCACGGTAAAGGGTAAAGTAGCATGCCTGGTTCAAAAAATTTTAAAAGTAGGGTTATTTTCGTAATATCAATTTGTTTTTTCATCTATATTTTACCTACAGTCAAACATAGACTTCATAAAAGTTACCTAATTTTTTCGATAAATTTTTTTCAACCAAACAACTTTTTTTTACATTTTCCTACCAAACTCATTTCCCAACAATTTTTCTATGAATAACATTTTCCTATTATCATAAGATTTCCCTTCAACCAAACGCCCCCTTAAAGTGTTGGGTTTAATATGCTCTTTTCACTTAAGCCCAATAGCTTTAGTGAGAGTGAGCCCAAAAAGACTAATTTCAACCCATGAAGCTTAGGGTTAATCTTGGATTGGGTAGAGTATATAAACTCTCTTTTCTCTCTAGTGCCTCCTAGGGTTATAGACATCAGAAACACAAAGAGGCAGACATTCATCATCTGAACGGTTGCCCACACGACTCCCTGATCCCTTTGAGTCATAGCCTGGAAGATCAACCGTAGAGCGGAATTGCGACCGTTCGTGGAGCGTTGCTACAGATCATGAGGCTTGAGGAGGAGAACAGAACGTGAGAAACTGTCACGCTCGCTGCTTCATCTTAGGTAATCAAAGCGGTGTTCTTCATTCCTCATCACATCGGTACGATGCGCTTCTGCGTTTCTGATGATATACCTACATAAAGGATAATGAAACCATAATTTTGACATGTTAAGAAATAATTTACAGAAATAGAACGAGTTTGCATATAAATTTTTTTTTAACGTTTCTCTTGTAATTAGAAAATAAAACTATCTCATACAAATCTTAAAATGACATAATTTTAGGATTTAAGAAAAAAAAAATACAGGATATTTTAATAAAATATATGATAAAAAAAGAAAATAAAATTACTAAAATAATTTATTTATTTTCCTAAATTCCATGTTATTTTGGAATTGTTGAAGATAATTTTATCTAACAAATTATAGTGTCCTTTTTTTTTTATGAGAAATGGAAGCTATATATGAGTTGACTGCTCGTGTTCAACCTGACATTCTTGATGCTCACTGTTGGACCTACAACATGTATATTTGCAATTGCAGCACTGGCAATTTGGCATGACTAGCATACAAGACACCCAACCTATCGCTTTCATCTTTTGCATAGGAATTAGATGCCTCATTTTCACCGTAAAGCACGTAACATTGTTATTATTGGCATCATCGTTACGAATCCATCAAAAGTTCGACAATAAATAGGTTAAGGAACCATAGAGTTGGTCTTGGCTTTGTTGTGGGCATTCAAATCAATGATGCATTAGAGGGAAAACCTGTTTGAATTATACTTTGTGAATCATATTTTGAAGTGTAATACAAAGGTTTTTTTTTTTTTTTTTTTTTTTCACTTTCATTCAAATTATGATTTGAAATCAAAATTATATTTAAACATTATTAAAATACGCCGATCGAACATATTAGTTTGACGGTTTTTTTTTCTCTTCTCTTCACATGAGCCCTACATATTATTATGTATGTAAGAGATAAACTTATCTTCTACAACATGAGAAAATTAAATCCTTTATAAAAACACCTACCAAAACAGTGACTCTAAAATGAACCGCAAAATATAAGGGACCTATTTATTCTAGGAAAAGGTTTTATGGGAAATACTACTCTAATTTTACATGAGGTAGTTATCTCATTTTCTCTCACTTCGAAAATCGTGCTCTTTTTTTTTTTGCTTTTAAATAGCGGGCCCTACTTGGATTCTCTTGTTACATGAGAGTACTCTCTTGTTACATGAGAGTAATATTACCCAGGTTTTATATACTTACATGTTTGAATAATTTTTTGTAAATTATAAATTTCACTGATTCAATAATTGAATCATGTGGTATTTGATCAGGCATGTCAACTTTAAAATAATAAATAAGACATCTATAGGTTTGACTTTGTAGTTTATTGATTAATATTTATTTACATGTACGAAAATAATTAAAATTAAAAATGTAATAAAAATATTAATTAATTGTTAAATATATACAATTTGAGAGAACTTTCAATGCTCCTTCCATTAAAAAGATGACACATGGCTTAATTTTTTTTTCTCTCCTTTATACACATCACATTTTCTCTCTCCAATTTTGATTGACTTGCCCCATTGAATAAATGGTGTTCTTGGAGCATCTTAATAATTTCAAAAAATCATTAAATGGTACGATCGTTCCAAGGCAATCGTTTCACGACAACCACATTTGGTGGTGTATCTTTCTCATGTAAGGTTCAGGACTTCATGCTAGGGGTGTAAATGGGCCAGGTTAGACCGGGCTTTGGCCTTCTTGGCCTAAGTCTACGTAAAAAAATATTCAGCCTATCTGGACTACTAAAGACTTTGTTTACAGGCCAGACCTGACATATTTTTAAAAAGCGTACAGCCTGATATGGCCTACAGGCCTTGTTGGCCTCCCACTACAAATACTGAACAAAGAAAATAATTGTATTGAGCAAAGAAAGTTCCATTCATGCATGCACTAATACTTTTCGTAAGAAATAAAAAATGACAAACAAAAAAGAGTCAACATAATACCTCAGCTCTAAAATGTGTATCAGAGAGGAATTAGAGTCAAAGAAATGGAAAAAATAAGAAAGAAATACAATTACTGGGTCAACCAAAGATGAAACTTAGAGACGAAAGTGAGAAGTCACTTAGGAGCGGTGGTGCAAAAAAGAAATTAGGGTTGGTACTTTGCCACCTAGAATAAATATTTTATGGGTTCGCTTTTTCTGCAGTTACTGCAGATAAGTTATCTGCAGTAAGTCCAATTACACGTAGTTTTGGGGCAGAAAACATGGTGTTTTTGTAATTTTAATTTATTTTGGAGTTATAATAGTCTTTATATTTATAATTTTTTAAGATTTCAAACCAAAACGACGTCGTTTTGGGAATAAATGCAGATAACTTATCTCCATTAACTGCAGAAATTTTTTCCCCATATTTTATTTTATTTAATTTAAAAAAATTAAATATGCTAGCCTACAAGGCTTTAGACTAGGGGTGTTCGCGGTCTGGATTGGATCGATTTTGGAAGCAAAACTTATCCGATCCAATCCCTTCGGTTTTGATCATGTAATCATCCATTCGGTTTAGATTTTTTTTCAAATCCGATCCGATCCAATCCAATTTTTTTCGGTTTGGATTGGATCGGTTTTCGCTTTTTTGAATATCCTAAAATCAGTTTCATGATTATTGTGCAAATAACATCTTTTGTATATATTGGCTTTGTAAATTATTATTTTTTGAAATACAAAAATATCAGTAAACAATACTATAGTTGATGAGACGTGACTAATTTTTTTTTGGGTTTAATTGATGAGTTAATGGGTCTTGGATTTAGAAATTTTTGGTCTATGATTGGAGAAAGGACTAAGTAGGTACAGGAGAATTAATATAATGGATCGGTTTGGATTGGATCGGTTTTCATCAACCCATCCGAAAACCGATCCAATCCAATTAAAATTTGCGGTTTTTTTTCGATTTTTGATTTTTCGATTTTCGATTTATTCGGTTATCGGTTTTTCGGTTCGGTTTTCGCGGTTTGAATCGGTTTGAATCAGTTTGGATCGGTTGATGAACACCCCTACTTTAGACTAGGCTTGACAAAGTTGGCTTATGACCTATTTGTTAAAAATTCCTGTCTTATAAGCTTAAGCCTACTCTATTGTTTAAAAAAGGTCAGACTAGACCAAGCTCAACATAAGCTGGGCTGTAGGTTAGGTCAGGCTAGCCTGACCCATTTACACTCCTACTTCAGGCATAATTATTTTAATCATTCTCCTTAGTTATACATAACATATAAAAGTTGAATCAAACTCTTTGACTTAATCAAATTTAAAATAACAGTAATAACGTATGAACAAAGTAATCAAAATTTTGACGAAATTCACATATAGTTATTAAATAGAGTAAAATAATCAACATACATACCACATCATTCTAACAAAAACTTTGATAAAAAAGTTGCACATTTTTTCTTAAAATAAAATTGTTTATACATCTCAACAACTCTCAGGCTTGTAATTAATTTGGCATGAATTGATACAATATGATTAATAAACGCAAGCACAATTATGAGAGAACACCTCAATGGTCTCATTTCCGGATGATAATTCGTAGCGTTCACAAGCATTGAACAAGAGTTCCTTTGGAGTTACAAAGAAGAAAAACAGAGATCACTAAGATGATACAAAGGTCCTTAATGCTGAAATGGAGCAGATGGATCATCTAAGCATGGAGGGTGGCATTTGTGGAGGTGCATTTGGTGGCCCAATCCAACCTGCATATATTTTTGTGCAATATTGTTAACTTTTTATTTAATGTTTTTTATTTCAATTCCATTGTGTGTGTATTTCAACTTCTAGTATGTGGCTGGCTATATGTGGCATATAAAATGTGATAACTTTTTTTTTTAAACCCAATGAGATGCTAGCTTGTTCATGAATAATATAGGGGAAAAAAGACTATCATTTAAAAAGATACAAATTGTATCCTTTTAGATGATTTACACAAAGTATGACTGGTCATACTTTGTGTAAATCTAAAAAACTACTTTTTTTTTTCTCTCCTCAGTCATATCGCTGATGTATAAAGTAAATTTTTTTTTTTTTTTCAGAATTACACAGAGTATGACCGATCATACTCTGTGTAAGTCACTAAAAAGACACAACTTGTGTCCTCTTTGAATGACACACACTAAACTCATAATATATACGTACCTTTGGAAGGGTCAAGGCCTCTTGCTTTAAGCTCAGCATGTTCTTGGCATAAGGCACATGATTCGCAGCAGAAATGAACACAGCAATCAGAACAAGGTTCAGCTGGTAACCCAAACTTTGCTCTGAGTTTCTCTCTGTAAAGACAAGAGTAGAGGCAGTGACAGCTAACGCACATAAGTAACCCATAGGCACAGCCTTGACCAAAGCAAGCTACATTCAAAACCACACAAACATATTAGAAATCATAAATCAAACTAAATTATGAACAGAACATAGCAAAATAAGCATCATAGTGTATGTAATCTGTTTATTTAATTCTTCTTTATTGATGTCATATACTTACAACTACGCCCTTCATCCACAATCTCTGCAATTTGGCCAAAGGTGATGCATGGCAGACAGCAAGTTATGAAACCTGCATTGTATTATTTACAAATTAATAATTGAATTACTTGGAAAATTTCAAAGATATAATTCAATTATCAAGGAAAATGTTTGCCTCTGATAAAATTACCCACACTCATATACCATATGATATTAAGTCTCTATGCTATTATTTGTATGGCTTACATGTTGTTGAGTCTTCACAACTACAGAATGGAGTTGACCATTTGGGTGGGGAAGGATTACCACCGAAATTCATCGTTTGAGCTACTAAGAAAATGTGTTTAAGTCGTTAACACAAGATTTGAGAGAACAAAAACAAATTTTCAGGGTGAGATATCTCGGAGAATACTTGAACGTGCCCCTTTGATTTGTTCAGTTTAAATAAATACACACAGCGTTGAAAACATCGACAGTGAAATAAATAAAACGAATTGAAATGGTTTATGCAGTTGTCCTTAGCCAAAAAAAAAATGCACAATATTTGACGGTGTGCCAGGACTGCTTCAAACATGGGAATTTCATACCTTACTCCTTTCTCTTGTTAATTGCCTAAGTTTAATCATGCCATCTCATCATGAATCATGATTTTATTACTTGTTATTGCTTTTGGCCGTCTCCATATTTTTCTTTTTGTCTTTTTCACATTTTTTTAACTCTTTAAAAAAAAATGTAGGCAGGATCAGAGGAAACCACTTGTTAAGGTCGCGGCAGTTTGATGGTTAATTTTTAAGTTGATTGTTTGAGTACATAACTGAAACTAACAAAATGATTCCTTGAAAAATCTGATAAAAAAATGTAAACTGAGTTAACAAAATTTGAGTCTGAAATTATTATTTTTTATTTTTTTGGTATCCTAAGTCTGAATTTTTTTAATCCTAGTTAACCCAACCCGATCTAGTCTAGCTCGCTAACCCAAAATACTACTATTGTTTTATGCAACAGATTATATTTACAAATTTTTTTGTTTACAAACTCTTACAAATTATACTATCTTCTCCCGAGAGAACATTAGTCACACTATTTTTTCCCGGAAGAACATAGTGCAATTTGCAAAAATTTGTAAAAAAAATTTGTAAACAGATTCTTCCCCTTGTTTTATTTGAAAAATTGAAGCTTAATCTGTTTAAAAAAAGAAAGAATTGAAGCTTACTCATAAACTATCCTTTTTCAAGAACTAAAACACAAAATAAAATTGGTTTAGTTGTTTATTTTTTATTTAATTGTTTTAAAAATTAATTTTTTATATTTTTCTTTTATAATATAAAAACAAGAATATATTTTAATTATTTTTGTTTTTTATTTTTATTTTCATGAATTTTAAACTCTCACTTCAAATTGCTGCCGTCACCAATGTTATTAGAGTTGCCGATCACCTATATAGTATCGATATTGACACGAGACACGTGACACGACACGACACTCCAACACGTTAATTTTAAAAAATATTAGATTTCGACATATTAAGACTCGTTTTGATATTAAATAATATTTTTAATTTTATGTAGTATATATTATATTTAATATTCAATAATTTAACAAAAAAATGAAACTAAACTGATAATATTCATCAATTTTGCAAAGAAACATAAGATATCCCCAATATTTATATTAAACTCAATAAAATGGTAATCGTAATCCAACGAATTTAATAGTTAGAACTAAAAACTCAACGCAACGCAACCTTTCAACCTTCTTTTGAATTTCTATAACGCGCGTTGGAGTGTCGGGAGTGTCGGAGAGTATCAGAAAGTGTCTGACACGACACGTTAGAATTTTTGAAGTGTCGGTGCTTCATAGCCGATCACCATCAGAAACTATTGTAGCACATACATTGTTTTTAAAAGGAGTAAAATATAAGAATTTGAAGGAAAATATACACACACGTATATATATTTGATTTGATTTTTTCATATTGCATTAGAATTAAATTCTCAAATTGTGACTCAACTAACAATGAGCTCCACATTTATTAAAAGGGTTTATCATTTATCATTTAACATGACCACAAAAAGTTTTCTACACACACAGCATTTTGTGGGGCACGCAGCAAAAAAAAAAAAAAAACTTCGGCACGCAAAACGAATCTCTATAACATATCACAATCACTTTTCCTACAACATAACTCTTATAAAACCCTTATTAAAAAGAGAAAAAGAAAAACTTTACACACAAATCGAAGGGTCACAACACCTCATGATACATGAGAAAATGTTTATATATATATATATATATATATATATATATATATATATATATATATATGAATTAAAATGAAATGAAACTTTTCTAATTTTTTTAAAAAAGGAAATATCGAATTTGGTATTCTTGCTACATTAAAAAAAATAAAAAAATCCCACCAACTCGATCTGCTGCCAGTAGAGCTGCCCGTCGTCGAAGCTCACTGTTGTTCTCACCATTGCCATCGGAACATCGTCAAGCTTTTAAAACCTATTCTTAAAATAAAGTTCATTAATTTTTTTTTTATAATAATTTTTTTTATTAAAGTTCATTAATTTTTTTATAATAAAGTTCATCTTTTAAACTTTTTTTTTTAAAACCTTCACGTATACGGGCCTTAATAGATCCATAACACTATGGATTAGCCCATTTATCTGGCAACTCAAATTTTAATGACAAAATATTATCTAAAAACATATTAGACCGATTATTTTAGAGATGTCAAAGATAAGAGATTACAATTTAAAAGATGCCATGTTATGACTAAAAAAAAAATGTAAAATCGAATCAAAAATATTTTCTATTTCTGCTTGCCAGCTATGGGTGGACTTTGATTTTAATATCACCATTCCATTTTTTTTTTCATGATTAACTGTGACCTTTTCCTACTCTTTTTTTTTTTTTGGTGTGGATTTCCTACTTATTTTATTTTCCCAGTTTTTATAAATTAGTTTTGTATTTGAAAATGGGGAATTTATATATATTTATAATTAGAGTAGTAAAAAAAAAGAGTAACAAAATTTTCTCATAAGAAATTAAAGTATTAACTTTGTATTTAAAGAAAATCTTTTTCTAGAGTGTATTTTCTTCAGAATATCCGAATCGTATTAACAAATGTTGAAATAATGAAAGAATATTGACTTGAGAATTAGTTAAATTTATGAATTACCTATTTTAACAAAAGTTAAAATCATAATAGGGTTCTTAAACGACGGGATGGGTAAGCCACAAACACAAGCCTACCTAAGCAATCTTAAATAAAAAAAAAATGTTATTACATTTAGTTTGAAATGTTAATTGATTTTTTTTAGAATATTAAAAATATTTATAATTTCACGCATCAGAGTAGTTTTAGGGCATTTTATATAAGGATTCTATTTTCTCACGTTGTTGGAAATAGTTATCTCCTATTATAGACACATGATGTGGTGGGGTCCACCAACTATTAAAAAAAAGAAAAATGGTGGCACAATTTTTGATGTGAGAACAATATAAGTAGGGGTGTAAATGGGCTGGGCTTTGGCCTTCCTGGCCCAAGCTTACATAAAAAAATATTCAGCCTATCTGGCCTATTGGCCTACTAAAGACTTTATTTATAGACCAAATTTGACCTATTTTTAAAAATTACAGAGTCTTATATGGCTTACAGACCTTGTAGGCCCTAGTGATATATTTTAAAATATTTTTAAAAAATTTTAAAAATATTTTTAACAATTTTTAAAATATTCGTTTCACATTACAAGTCATCAACGTTTTCATAAATTGTTGCATTTTTTACACGAGATATAAATTTCACTAGTGAGCATTAAAAATTTTACAATAGTAAGAAAAAAAACTAATTCAAGCTCAGAGATAACTTGCCAGAGAAGGGAGAAGCGGCGTTGCACAAAATAATTTAGGGTTGGTACTGATTGCCACCTAAAATAAATATATTATTTTATTTAAAAAAATTAAATAGGCCAGCCTACGAGGCTTTACGCCAGGCTTGATAAAATTGGCCTATGACCTACTTGTTAAAAATGCTTTATTATTAGCCTAAGTCTATTCTACTATTTCAACGTAGGCTTGGCTGTAGGCTAGGCCAGACCAGCCTGACCCATTTATACCACTAAATATGAGATTGTTATCTCATGTAAAATGAGATAATGATTTCCTTTTTATATATTATGTTCACAATTCAGTTATATAGATTATATAATATATATACATGTTGGGGCAATGATTTAGCTAAACTCAAGCAACAACTTCTCCTAATGATGGGAAGCACTTGCAGGCTGCAACAATGAGCCCATTTATGTAAGACCCATTTGTAATCGGGTTACCGAATCTATAAATCGATTTTATGTCAGGTCCATGGGTCCAAGGAAATTGTATTTATTTACCAGGACCATGGCTGTTTTTCTAATGGTAAGGGGTGAAAAATAAATTTGTACAAATATTTATTCTAATGATCAAGAGACAGAAGAAATCATTTTAAATTGCTCTCAGTAACATAACAAATCCTACAATATATATATATATATATATATATATATATATATATATATATATATATAGGACATGAACATATAGTTTGGAAATTCTCTTGCTAAACTAAACAAGAATTTCCAAGATGCTAGCCTGAATAACATTATAATATAACTGTAGGACATGAACAGATAGTCATGGCAATTTATCAAGGTCCCATGATGATATCACGTCATGATGACATCAATATCATGTCAATTGTTACTTTGGTTGCTCAGAATTCTAGATGAAGCTACTACATAATGCATATGCCACTAGTATTTTATCAAGTAAATTAGAACTCTTAGCCAGTAGTTTGATAACTAAGTAAAGAAGGAAGTACTGTTTATATTCATTTAGTGCTCTGCAAATGATAAATATAATGTAGTGTCCCATTATGTGCATCTGCTTGAACATTCCATACAGATTAAATATTCATTGATTGATTGGAGCAGATCAAATGTTAGACCTTTATCAGATACCAGCTGTTCAGTGCTCTCACGATGAATTCCATGATGGGCCTTTTAGTGTATATATTACATGCTTTTCATCAGTGTTACTTGCATATTATAAGGTTGATAATTTTTTTGTGATATCAATCAATTTCACATCGAATTGTTGAAGGAACTTTCCAAATCATGGGCTGATGTTTTAGATATAATATTATATAACAAGGAAATTATTTATTTTTCAAGTTAATGCCTGGAGGGGGCACCTATTGGAAATTGGAGTTAGGTTAATTAAGTTGATATCTGATTTATGATAATTCCACAAATAAGAATATGCCAAAGA